ATTCCTATCCATAGCGCTACTGTCAGCCAATGTCATCGGCGAGATGCATACTTCCATCTGCACCCTCCTAACAAGTACTAATAAAAGTGCTATACACTTAGGTATTCTGTTAATTAAAGTTAGAAAGCCATCACACAAAAGTCATTCATACGAAATAAAATGCGATAAATACTGTTTAAGGTTATCAGTTCTCTAAAAATATTGATCATATTTTTATTTATTTTATTATATAGCTTGATTCCACACAGTATTTTGGTACAAGTATGGAATTTTCAGCATGTGATATCGGTAGCCCAAATTTAGCAGGCCCACCATTGATATCAGGTGTGCGTCGGCCAGGGATCTGACCCCGGACCATGTGCATAGTCGGCGAGCATCCTGACCGCTGTGCCACTGATGCACTTTTCATTTTATACAATGTGTAACTGTGCCGAGTCAAGATTTTTAGAAGAATTTCTTCCCCGCAGAAAGACATCATCATTCTTAGTACCTCTATATTTCTATTGAAGAGTTCTTCTTTTGAAGCGTTATTATCTAATTATGTCACAGTGATTAGGACACTCGCCGACCATGCACATGGTCCGGGGTTCGATCCCCTGCCAACGCACACCTGATATCTATGGTCGGCCTGCAAAATTTGGACTACCGATATCCATGCTAAAAATTCCATACTTGTATTGAAAATACGGTGTGGCATCAAGCTGTAATCAAAATATAAAAAAATAATATATTTTTAAAAATTAAAGTGGCCTATATCATCACTCATTTTTATATTTGTTTGTTTTACCTAATAGAGTAGCTATAAAGACAGTTTACATACAATTCAATAAATCATGTCACATGTTCAATTCTCCTTTCATCATTTATCACTCTCAAATGGTACAAAAACAACCAAATTAAAAAATCACACTGAATAACCTTCACAGTTTAAGGTAACAGTCTTTTTTTGATTCAATAAAAGAAAAGAGCATGATGGAAAAAAACAACAACAACTCTAAAGTGTGAAGTCGTATCACATGTTTTTCGTTTTTTTAGAAAAAGAAAAGGTGTCTACACGGTACTGATATAATGGCGAATATGTAGAGACATAAAATGATAGATGATGATGTATAGTGTAATTAATGTCATTTAGATATATACATTCAAGTGTTCAATACTATTCAATTAATCAAATCTTATTGAACTGTTAAAATGCATCAAATGAAGTGTTTACACAGGTTGAATTTAGCGACTTGAAGGTTATTATCGTGTTTTTTGCCACACTTTTTGAAGAGTACAGCTAATCAATACTGGAGTAGAGTGTGGCAAATAGTGTGTGTGATACTTAAAGAAATTTCAAAAAAAAAATTTATTCTCTATCTTCTATATGCCCAAAAAATATCTCTTGAGATTTTAGAGTGTACTATTCAGGTATATAAAATGAGCAATGTATTTAAAGGTGAGTTTTAGCTAGTAAACACATGTAGGCAATGAGTAAATTTTGCTTACACAAAGATTCTATGCCAAACTGTCAGAGTGTGACTTAATGTTATTTCAAGTACTAGATGGTCATTCACGCGGGTCGATCAATTCAAACATTCTTTACTTCAGTCATGTATGACACGAATTATAATATCACCAGATTTACATGCCGGATAAACGGGATATTCCATCACATGAATGTATATTGGTCTCTTATACGTACTGATTATGATTTTTTTAAAACGTGTAGTCTTTTATGATAAAGTACCCTGGAAATGTATTTCAGCAAACAATTAGAGGAAAGTATACTCAGCGCTTACTTACTGTCATTTTTATGCAGAAATGCCAAACATGGAGACTGATGAATACATCAAGAAACGTTATTAGTAAGTTATGTCCTATTGCATGCTATGTATTACTGTTACGTTTATTTAGCTATTCAATATCAACTCCTATCTCAAATTAAAGTTTTGACTGGAAATATTCATTGTGTGTGCTTTCCTTCCACAAGCTGTTCTTCCAGTTACAGCCGGATCCGACAGTTCCAGACTTAGTAGCTTTTTGTCGGATATCAACCTGTGGTCTAAGCGAAGTGGTCTAATGTTAAATTCATATAAATGTCAGACTTTAAAACTTCACCTTTAGGCATAAACGTGATCTGCAAGAGCTGGTCCTATCCTCTGACCTTTTTTGGTCATCCCATATCTTGTCAGTTACCAAGAAAATGTTCCGTCTCACTTAATACATTAAGAAGTTAAAACAATCAGGAAGCACTCAACCTCTGCTTTTACAATTTGTCAACTTTTGCATCTTAAGGCTCCCCCTTAGTCCTTCCTGAGCTACTCAAAAAGGAATATGTCATATTAACAGGGGATATTAACAGTTGTCAGTAGGGTAAGTGGTATGCCAGTCGACAGACACCTGAACTCATGTGAGAAATCGTCTAAATTCAAACTGTCTGACTTTCAACACCCCCTGTATTCTCAACTGTCCACTTGCATTTCATCAGGCAGGACTAAAAGTCATTACAAAAGATTATATACTCGTATGACCAAATACAGAAACTCAACGATACTATATTCGCCTCACGTTCTGTGTGATAGAGATAATGTTAAAGGCGAAACCTACAACTTACTATGTTATTAGCAAAATAACTGGCTATTCCATTCTCTCCTATTTGTAATCTATGGAGACACAGTTTCAGTTAATTTTATTGTCACTTCAAGCACCCAAAAAGCTGCTATTATCAATCCTGTAATATTTATTTATTTTTTAAAATTTTTGTCTTTGCTGTTGTCGCATAAATTAGATGCTAAGTTACATCAAATGCTGAGAATTTCACACTGAATCATAAGTACTGTTTTGGAATAAAACAAATTATTTAATATTATTTATGCAATCACATTTTGTTTTGTCTCCGGCCCATCCTGATGTATTTTGGTAGCTAAAGTTTATCATTTCTATTATTGTTATTGTCATCGTTATTATTGAAAACAAAAACAGAATCTATTCTTATTCTGAGATATGAAAGATAATTAATTATGGCCGGTGTGTAAGTGACAAGGTACATGTGATGAATACCATTCAACTGCCTTTTTATCGTTTTTAAAGTGAATAAACTGACCAAAATGCCTTAATTATATTTAATATTCCATGGATAATTACTGAAGTTGGAGGATTTCATCATGAGCTGACATCAGTTAGAGAACCATTGGAAAACCAGCTGGGAGTACTGGACAGTCAGCTGTTTCGTCAGCCTAGTTTGGAACTCTTCATCAGTACGCACCCACAGCCGAGGCTAGAACCCACGACCTTCTGGTTACAAGGCGAGCTAGCTCGTAGACCATTGAGAGCTACTGGGACCCAATCCAATGACCAGTCCATGAATTCTAACTCCTGCCAATTCACGGTGACATAGCGCGACCACTTCGCAATGTCTTCTTCTCCTATGAGTTACTGCCTCACCTTCAACCTGCTGTACCCTACTGGTGACGGCTTCCCACTAGAACCCCAGGTTAACTGCCTGAATGAGGCAAGTCACTGTTACAGAGCATCAGATCAATTTTCCAACCAATCAAACAAAATCTCTGTAAACCAATGCTGGAAAATTACTGAAGTATTAAGGTGGACAACGCCTACCTCGAGAAAATATCCAACCAAGATGCTAAATGTATTAAGCTTATTTCTATCACATTAAGATCATCTTAGGTCTGGTTTTCTCAAGCTTCTTTAACCTTATGGTTTCAGTTAATTTGCATTTGTCGTTGATCGATTATGTTGGACCGAAAATCTCGGTCTCTGCGGACATGTCGTCTCCTGGTATGAAATGCTTCGACGATTTCTAAAGATTAGAATGATGTTATTTTGCTTGGAGGTGACTAGCACTAGGATCTAGGATGTGCATTTCGTCCCCTCTGGAACTCATCAGTCACATATTTCTTCGTTTCTAGTAATGGTGCTCCTACTAAGAATGGGACACCGTAGCACTCGTTTCAAACGCCGAAGCGTTATTCACTTAGCCAATGGACCACTTTATTTCAACAAACTTACGCGACAGAGTTTATCTTGAAGAATCTATTTCAGATTCGTTTGTAGATAGACAGAATACGGATTGGCTAGTAATACGGGATTATTATTATTATAATCAAGAATAATATTGAAAGTTATTATGGAGGGATAGGGAGTTTATTTAAAACTGGGAGTTATTCTAGAATTATGTGTCTAACGCCAGAAAGGCAGTAGTTTATGCCCTATAATAGCCAAGTATTGAGAATCAAGTGTGAACACCACTCATACTTGGTTATGAACAGAACAATCGATATTTTTGGAAAGTATTATTTACTCATCATGATTTTCCAATGATGAGCAGTACGAACACCTAAATATATGAACCATTGTCATAAAAAAAACATTATTTGCAATTGAGTATGTTAACATTCATCAACCTGAAACCAATCTGGAAATCTTCGTCACTCAGCCTGCATCAACAACAAAATGATTCGGATTTTCAATACAAACGTCAAGTCAGTCAGTTCTTCTATACGGATGGATCAGAAACTTGGTGGGTCACAAAGAATATTTCCAACAGCCTGTTGTAGACCTTTATCAACAACTATCTTCGCTCTATACTCAAGATCAGATGGCTGGAAAGAATCACCAACAAGAAACTATGGGAACAAACAAAACAAGAGCCAATCGCCCAACAAATATGCAGGAGAAAGTGGAGATGGATTGGACACTCGCAGAGGAGGCCGTTGGGTGACATCGCGCGTCAGGCCAGTGCTCGAGTGGAACCCGAAAGGGAAGCGGCGAGTGGGACGTCCAAGGGTGACATGGAGGAGATCGTGTGATGAGGAATTGAAACAGTATGGATTAACATGGATGCAGGTGAAAAGTACAGCACAAGACAGAAGCAAGTGGAGGCGTGCAGTTGAAGCCCTATGTTCCACTAGGAACCCAAGGGAACAATAATAATAATATTATAACTGTAATAAGAATATTATAATGTCAGCATGAGCAGTAATTACAATACAACTTACCAGTATGTGTCCTTTTATGAATTTTTAAATTTTCACTCCGTGCAAATACTTTCATACATCCAGTGAATGGACATGGGAAAGGTTTCTCACCGGTGTGTACACGTATATGATTCACTAGTTTATACTTTGCTTTAAATGGTTTCCCTTCTCGTACACAATCTTTCCAATAACATGTATGATCTAATTGTTCCGGCCCGCCAACATGTTCCAATGTGATATGATTAACTATTTCTGTAACAGAATCAAATACTCTTGAACATGGTTTTGGCAATGAACCTGGTACAGTAGGCACTGGATCTACCCATTGACAATAATACAGTTCACCATTATTAGATGGATTTCTTCTTGTCTCACAAGTTGGTATAGATGTCAGCGTTGTTGAGGCAATCTGTTGACTAGTTGATAAACGATTATTGATTAGGTTTTGGGGCATATTATACAAGCCACCGCATATCGCTGAATTGACAGAATATGGCGGCATTAGAAAATTCTCCTCCCCCTCTTCCTCTGATGTATGATTATTTGTATTATTGATCGGAGGTGAAATTGGTGTTGATGTTGTATAATTCGATTGTTGTTTAATTCGTCCCAGCGTTTGATGATATAAATTATGATGAGCGTTATTCATACTACTATTATTATTATTGGTTAACTGTTTATCATTTAAATAACGATAAAGTTGAGCTGTATTCGTTGTTGCAGCAGGGGATAAAGATGGCGGGTGGGTAGAACCATACGGTAGAGGATAACATGAAGCAGCTGCAGCCATTGCTGCCATACTTGTAGGATATGAAGATAAAAAATTTGATGAATATTGAATACTGTTCATTGGCTGTGGCCATATATTTGATATATTTGTTGAAGTATCACATGTAGTCACAGGAATTGAACTTTCTGTTAACTCCTCGTTTATTCCAGGCGATGAAGTATACCGTTGAGGATATAAAAGTTTTAGCTGACTAGCAGTAATCGATTCCTTAGAAGACTGTGTTTGTGGTAATCGAGTGAACGAATGATATGAATCTACTGTGGGCATAAAATTGTCAACAATGTTATGATTTGTTTGATTTGATAAATAGGACAGAGCACAGTTTAAATTCCCACGGTTATTATTGTTATTATTATTACCATTATTATTATTATTGTAGGCGAGCGGGGTATCAGTCATTACACTGGATGGTGGAGATGAACTGGATGAATACGGTGTAATCGCTGAGAAGGAATTATTGCCAATATCATTTACATTTCTAGATTCATTCAATGATCGATAATCGCCAATATTCGATGGATTCGTTTGATGACAGGATAAAGATGCAGAATCTAAGCATTGTTGAACTATTGATGTTGTCCTTGTATTCTGAGATAAGTGTTGTTGTAAATGATTATGCTGATGTTGATTAGATGGTGGTGGGGGTGGGGGTGCTTGTGGTGGTGGTGGTGGTGGTGCTTGTAATGCTGAATCACTTGGATAATACTGAGAGTAAATCAATGGAGTATTGGATACATGGGAAGTTTGTGATCTTAATTGTGATTGTGACTGAGTAATTGTCCCAGGTGGTAATACATTGTATAATTGTGTATGCATGGTGCTTTTTTTGTTATTATTATTATTGTTGTTATCTCTTATTGATTTCTTCTCGGGGGGAGGAAGTCAAAAAGTAATAGTACCAAAAAATGTTCGATATAAACTGTCTGTCTTTATGTGTATTTTGACCTGTTTTAGTTAATATGAAGAAGAAAAAAAAGTATATACTCAGTTGGAATTGTATTCAATTAGTATTAATTCTGTAGGAAACATGTTAGGGTCTTTTGGAACCCTACTGGATGATCGACAGGTTGTCTAATATGAAATAGAGGTCATAAATTATTATTGAATTGTTTGCCTGAATTTTAATGCCTCCACGTGGTTTCTTCACTGTTGGTAATTTTTATAAATATATGGTATTCAAATATTCAAAACGGGAAATATTTTTCACAAGATAGTTGACAAAGCCTTGACGACAGTAAAATCGAGTGTGTAAGTTACTCACCAGGACGTATGTAGTAGTAGTAGTACACTATGGAAAATATTCAACTACGTCTTGATGCCCCCTTACCGTGCCAAGAGAGATACAGTAGTAGTAGAAGTAGTAGTATACACTGTCCGGGAGGTTGAATTGCACGCTGAGTGATGACACTTTACAAATGGTCAGCTTTATTCCCTGCTGCGTCTGACACTAACAGATTTATCAGTTCAGTAATGCGTATAAATTTGACTTCAGTGCAATCGAATATTTGTTACCTGTCTATCAGGTAGCAGCCATATTTGATTCGAATTCTGATATGCGATAGGTTGAAAAAATAATGTTAACCACCTACCTACTACTATTGCTACTACCATTTGGAAGATAACGAATTGTTAAGGTGTCCCAAAAAATCGGAGGTTGTTGTGTTTTGTGTGTGTGACCACCTACAGTGAACATAATTAAGGGGTAGAGAAAATTTTGACTATATAGGCAACAGTTAGGTTATTCTTTTTTTGGTGTGTTGTTAATACTTATTAACCGTAAAATATCATAAAATGATTGGCAGGAGTGTATGGTTGCCTAATAGGTGAAGCGCAGCAGTAAAGGCTGTAAACTAAGGGTTAGAAAACTGTTATTATATATTCGACTATTTGATTGGTTACAAAACCTTTCTATGCTATTGGTAAACTGTGAGTGTTTTGAATTTTGATTGGTTGAAAAATAATTTACCCTAATAGAATCTTCATCTACTAAATATCAAGTAGGTAGAGAAATTTCATGCTGTCTTATACAGAAAATAAATTCTTTTGATCATATATAGACGTAAATTATTTTCCTAATATGACTACTCTTCATGTATTCTTCAATCCGTTAAATATTGTACGTCATTTTAAGTCGTGGAATGATAGAAGTTAGAATTCATGGGACATTGGGTCTCGGCCCAAGTGGCTGGATGGTCGATATGTTCGATCTCGTAACCTGAGGGTTGTGGGTTTGATGGGAGTGCATTGCTGAAAAGTCATAAACTAGGACGAAACAGCTGCCCAGCATTCCCTGGTTTTCAGTGGTTCTCTAACTAACATCAGTCCATGATCAAAATTAAAAATAAATAACTAGTGCCACCTACTCGAAGTAGGTTTTATTGTATTGGTAACTGTTTAACAGGATAAAGGTACATTCCATTAATTAATAGTTATCACTGAGAGGCGAGTTCGTGAAAGCCACTGATTTGTAATGTTATCGGATTATATACGTGTTTACATAAACAACAAGCTTCATTCTCTGTTATTTATTTACGTTTTAAATTTCCCATTGTTTTTCTTTGTAGATTGAATGAATCAGTCTCCATTGGCTTCCAGGATAGATGTCTCTATAGACTCTTTTATATTTCTTCAGATGGTTTCCATTTTTATACAGGTTGCCACTTACTAATATTATATTATTTGTTAGTATTCACCTGGATTCCGAGTGGAACATAGGGTCTCACATCCTGTTCTCTGCAGTCCTTTTCAGCCATCGTTTTCTACTCACACAATCTTCTCCATTTCACCCTTAGGTCCTCGCTTAACTCGCCGTTTTCCATTCAGGCTTCACTCGAGGGCTTGGCATGAGAAGTCACCGAACGATCTCAGAGTGTGTCTGATCTATCTCCACTTTCTTTTGCATATTTGTTGAGCGGTAGGTTCTTGGATGTTTCGTTGCTGGTGCTGCTAGCTGCTTATCCTTTCCAGCCATTTGTTCTTCATTATGAAACGAAGACAGATGTTGATAAAAGTCTGAAACCTGTTGGAACTGATTTCGATGACGTACCACGTCATTTACTAACGTGATCAGTTGTATTTAGCATTACGTGAAACAGTCACCAGTAAAGACTAACTATGATTAACCTCTGTTTACTATATCTGTCGGTCATTTAATGGTAAAATGTACTCTAAACATTCAGCAAGTCTTAGCTGCAGTCTTAACCTTCGTCTAACCTCTGGTAAGTCCAGGAAAAAGGGTGGGTTGAGCGTGAGAGTAGCAGTCCCAGCCAGCAAATTCAAGACCATCACTACTAAAACTTCAAAGTCCTGTGTCTCATTTCAAGTGCAAATAAATCAAAAAAACTTCACAGAAATATGTATACCCTAACTAGTTCAAATTTACTTGCCCAAAAGTTCATTTACAAACACCTAGTGAAATAGAGAAGAAACACGTGATTTAGTGAAGAGACTTTCTTCACTGAAATTTTGCCTGAATCTAGTGAAATGATACGAATCATTTAGACTGTGTGATTTTAAGTGAATAAACTGTTAGCTTATGAAATCCCCGATAAACTTAAACAATATTCATTCCAAGTGATTAAAGATGCCAATTAAAATTTTCAAAAGAATGGTTACTGAACAAAGAATATTCTTTTCGATAACCTCTCCTTCATCAGGTTCTACAGTTATATATACATAATAGTGAATGAATTAGTGTTATTAACAACATTAATGTTGTTTAAATAACATCGAATCAATAATAATATCAATGGATTACAGTTCGATAGCATCAACATAACCACCATACACTGAATATCAGAAAAATTAGGAAAGATAATAATACAAATTCATGAATTTATAGTCTCCACTGAAGGCCAGCCAGGGCAGTAGTAGTGGCTGGCTGGACTTGCTTTTTCTGCACACAGAGCACCGGTTGTTCCAAGCGAATCGCAATAGTCTCTGCTGTTTGGAGTATGCGGTACCTCGATGTTTTTGGCAATTTATTTGGTACTCGATAGATGGTGGAGAAGGACTCTTCAATTCTGGCTTTGTGACCAGTTTGGACCAGGTGTTCTAATATCGAGCTGTTGATGCCTCCCACTACACTTTTATTTAACCACACTGGTAGATGTTCATTATGAATGAGTTTTTAATGAGAATCGATCCTGACAGAGTTAATAAAATAAAAGGCTGTAAAACTTCTAAGTAATTAAATTACACATGTGATCAATAAAAATTCATTCAATGCAACTTTGAAATATCAATAGCAGTGCTGTTGTTTTTTTACCGGGGTGGGGTTGACAAACTTACGTTCAATCTTCACTCAATTTTTGGCTTATTATTTGCTAAAAAACCAGAAGAGGTTTAAGAATACGTTTGCTGGAAATCCAACCTAGACCTCCCTCGAGGATTCTCAGGTAACTACATCAAGTCTGTTGCGCGTAAGAAAATTTTAACAATAATCGAATTGGCTAACATTAGAGATGTTAATAGGAAAAATGGAAACATTAAAATATCCTTTAGAAAGACAGAACAACAAAGATTCAGTAAATTCGACGAAGTCGACTGGAAAAGTCTTTTACGGTCAATCACATGTTTTCTCTCTCTCTCTCTCTCTCTCTCTCTCTATATATATATATATATATATATATATATATTATATATATATATAGACATTATTCGCTTGGGTTCCGAGTGGAGCATACGGCTTCAACGACACATCTCCACCTTGTTCTATTTTCTGCTGTCCTCTTCATCTGGGTTCACGATTGACCATAATCTCTCATCTCCTCCTCGCCACACGATCTCCTCCATGTCACCCTCGAAGTGACGGTCCATTCGTCGCTTTCCATTGGGATTCCACTTGAGCGATGGCCTACATTGAACGCGATGTTATTCGATGTCCTACTCAGCGTATGCCCAATCCAGGAGGATGAATTTTCATGAATTGAAGTCGGTCTAAAAATATTGTTCAATACATCCTACATCCTTTAAGTTTAGGTTAACAATCCAACCCCTTGGAAAATAAACGACACCACTACTGAAAGCTTACAGCTTTATGTTCCAATCAGAACTCATGGAATGATGAAAAATTACATCAACAGAAGAGTTTGTGATAAACTGTAATGTATGAGATGAAGCCTCCCTCCTTTGTGATAAGAAATTAAATGTCTAGAGTTACAGACAGTCTGTATTTCTCATTTTTGCCCAATGCAAACTAATATTATACATTATGGTAGTAGTGTGCCGTATGCTACTGATAAGATTTATCAGTAGTAT